GCCTAAGGCAATCTAGAGACTCAATGCAATCCCTATCAAAATACCAACAGCATTCTTCAACAAACTGGAACAAATAGTTCTAAAATTCACATGGAACCACAAAAGACCCTGAATAGCCAAAGAAATACTGAGAAGGAAGAATAAAGCAGGCAGCATTATGCTCCCCAACTGCAAGCTCTACTACAAAGCCAAAGTAATCAAGACAATTTGGTACTGGCACAAGAAAGGACCCATAGATCAATGGAACAGAATAGAGAGCCCAGATATAAACCCAGGCATATATGGCCAACTGATATATGATAAAGGAGCCATGGACATACAATGCAGAAATGAGAGCCTCTTCAACAGTGATATCAAAACTGGACAGCTACATGTAAGAGAATGAAAGTGGATTACTGTCTAACTGCACACACAAAGTTTAACTCGAAATGGATAGAAGATCTGAATGTAAGTTATGAAACCATAAAACTCTTAGAAAAAAATATAGGCAAAACTCAGTGGAATATGAACATGAGTAACTTTTTTATGAACATATCTCCTCGGGCAAGGTAAACAAGAGCAAAAATGAACAAGTGGGACTATACCAAACTGAAAAGCTCCTGTACAGCAAAATATACCATCAGTAGAACAAAAACGCATCCCACAGTATGGGAGAATATATTCATAAATGACATATCAGATACGGGGTTGACATCCAAATTATATAAAGAGCTCATACACTTCAACAAACAAAAAGCAAATAAACCAATTAAAAAATGGGCAGAGGAGTTGANGTATAAGAACAAAGAAAAAACTGAAGGAACAAAACAGCAGCAGAATCACAGAACCCAAGAATGGACTAACAGTTACCAAGGGGAAAGGGACTGGGGAGGGTGGATGGGAAGGGAGGGATAAGGGGGAAAATGGGGTATTACAATTAGCACACATATTGTAGCGGGGGGGGGTCACGGGAAGGCAGTACAGCACAGAGAAGACAAGTAATGATTCTATAGCATCTTACCACGCTGATGGACAGTGACTGTAATGGGGTATGTGGGGAGGGGACTTGATAATGGGGGGAGTCTAGTAACCATAATGTTGTTCAAGTAGTTGTACATTAATGATATCAAGAAAAAAAAAAGGCATCCTAGAGTATGGAAGAACATATTCAAAAATGACATATCTGAAAAGGGGTTAACATCCAAAATATATAGAGAGCTCATGTGCATCCACAACCAAAAAGCAAATAACCCGATTAAAAAATGGTCAGAGGATCTGTACAGAAACTTCTCTAAAGAAGAAATTCAAATGGCCAACAAGCACATGAAAAGACACTCCACATCACTAATCATCAGAGAAATGAAAATTAAAATCACAATGAGATATCACTTCAAACCAGTTAGGATGGCCAACATCCAAAAGACAAACAACAAATCTGTGAGGGTGTGGAGAAAGGGAACCCTCCTACACTGCTGGTGGGAATGTAAATCTGTTCAACCATTGTGGAAAGCAGTACGGAGGTTCCTCAAAAAACTAAAAATAGAAATACCATTTGACCCAAGAATTCCACTCCTAGGAATTTACCTTAAGAAAACAAGATAAGAGATTCAAAAAGATATATGCACCCCTATGTTTATCGCAGCAGCCAAGAAATGGAAGCAACTTAAGTGTCCATCAGTAGATGAATGGACAAAGAAAATGTGGTACATATACATAATGGAATATTATTCAACTATAAGAAGAAAACAAATCCTACCATTTGCAACAACACGGATTGAACTAGAGGGTATTATGCTCAGTGACATAAGCCAGGCAGAGAAAGACAAGTATCAAATGATTTCACTCATCTGTGGAGTATAAGAACAAAGAAAAACTGAAGGAACAAAACAGCAGCAGACTCACAGAACCGAAGAATGGACTAACAGTTACCAAAGGGAAAGGGACTGTGGAGGATGGGTAGGAAGGGAGGGATAAGGGGGAAAATGGGGCATTACAATTAGCACACATAATGTGGAGGGGGTCATAGGGAAGGCAGTATATACAGAGAATACAAGTAATGATTCTATAGCATCTTACTACGCTGATGGACAGTGACTGTAATGGGGTATGTGGTAGGGACCTGATAATAGGGGGGTCTAGCAACCATAATGTTGTTCAAGTAATTGTACATTAACGATATCAAAATAAAAAAAAAAGAACAAAGCAAAAATTGAAGGAACAAAACAGCAGCAGACTCATAGAACTGAAGAATGGACAAACTGTTACCAAAGGGAAAGGGACTAGGAAGGGTAGGTGGAAAGGGAGGTAAAGGGGATTAAGGGGCATTATGATTAACACAGCTACTGTAGCGGGTGCACGGGGAAGGAGGTATAGCACTAAGAAGACAAGTAGGGAAGCTATAGCATCTTGCTATGCTGATGGAAAGTGACTGCAATGGGGTATGTGGTGGGGACTTGATAACAGGGGGAATGTAGTAACCATAATGTTGCTCATGTGAAAGCTGAGCGTAAGATTGTATATCAATGACACCTTCATAAAAACAAAAGAATAAACTCCTATTGGATCAGTGATCTATACGTAAAAAATTCAACACGATAAAAAAAATATTGGTGAATTTTACTAGAACCTTGATTGTAGGCTTTCTAACAATGAGTCAAAACATAGGTATTAGGACTTCTGCTTTCAGTCAAGATCAACAGACTGCACTTACCCTCCTACCTGGAACCCCAGAAAAAAACACAAGAGAACATATGCACAGCAAGGGTCTCCAAGACACTGATCATCTGGCTGTGATGAACAGTAACCCATGAGACAGGAAATAAACAGGGTGAGCCCTACAGCCCCTGCCCTGAGAGTTTCCAGCCACGCAGCAGCACGGGAGCAACCAGACATAGGTGGGGAGAAGGGGTTGAGAAACTGGGGGGAAAATGTAGGGAAGTACAACCCATCAGGAAAATAATCAACTGAAATGGGCCCAGAACTACCAGATGTTACAATGAGCAGAGAACATTAAAACAGCTTAAAATCATATTCTTTATGTTAAAAAAAAATGAGTAGAGACAGGGAAGATATAAAATGAAACTCAAACAGAACTTTATAGAAAAAGCACATCATCTAGAGATGGAAATTACACTGAGTTAATATAACAGCACTGCCAAAAAAAGGATTAGTGAATGTGAAAACAGAGCAGTGGAAGCAGTAAGAAATAAAACATGCAGAGAAGAAAAATGAAAGGAAAAGGAAGGGGATTAGTGAGCTATGGGACAAGGTCAAGCCGTGGAATATACAGGTAATGAGAATCCCTGAAGGGAGGCTGGGGGAAGCAAAGGGACCATTTGAAGACACGGTCAAACTTTCCCCAAAGTTGATGGAAACCGTAAACATACAGATCCAGCAAGTTGCACGACCCCCAAGCACAGACACACGAGGGAAACGAAGCCAAGACGAATCAAGCACATCACCTATGACCAGTGATAGTGAGAACATTTTAAAGCAGTGAGAAGAAAAAGAAAAAAAATATGTGACATACAAAGGAACAGATGAAGATGACCTCGAATTTCTCTTGGAAATAATGTAAGCGAGGAACATACTTAAAGCACAGGAGGAAAAAACAGCAAAGATACTTTCAAAAAGGAAGGCAAAATACAGACGTTTTCAGACCTATGAGAGCTGAAAGGTTCTTCATTAATTACAAGAAAAGTCAACAAAAAGTCCTTCATGTAAAAGGAACAGGAGATTAGATAAATATCCTAATCTATACCTAGGAATGAAAGTTAAATAGGAACTATGTATTTTCTTTTATTAGGTAAGTCCTTTAAAAGGTTAACTGAGTGTTTAATTACAAGTAACAATGTATTGTGGGATCGGTACTACTGTAAAAGTAAAATGCACCAACATTGCAAAGACCACCAGGGAAGAACTGGAAGTAACTGTGAGCTTCTTATAGTCTAGTGAAATGATAGATCACTTGAAGGAAAACTATGATAAATTAAAGGTGTATAGTATAAATATAAACCTTAAAGCACCCATTAAAATAACGGTGTTATAGCCAACAACTCAACAAAGGTTACAAAATGGAATCACAGAAATGCAATGAACTGAAAGGAAGGAAGACAAAGAAGAAAAAGGAAACAAAGAAGATGGGACAGACAGCAAAGACCACAGACTATAAGCTACCCAGTTACACAAATAATTGTGTCAGATGGAAGTGGTCTCAACAACTCAGTTAACAGGCACAAATGGTCTGACTGGATAAAAAGGCCAGACCCACTCATACTCTGTCTACAAGAAAATCACTTTAACTAGAAAGATGCAAACTTAAAAGTAAAAGAATGAGTAAGATACAGCATGCCGAAATAAGCCTGGGGTGGCTCCATAAATGTCAGAGAAACTCCATGTCAGAATAACTAACAGGGACAAAAACAGGCATTTTCACAATGACAAAGTGGTTAATTAATCAAGAGGATACAATAGTCTTCAGTGTTTACATACCTAACGATAAACATGCATCAAAAACCGGCAGAACTGCAAGGCGAAATACACAAACCACAACTTGGATCAGTGTTTTGGTGTCTGGAAAAATTACATGCACCAAGTTTTCCTTAGGCAGCAGGCCCTTGGCTTAGATAGGCACCAAGAATAAGTCACACATTGCAATGTATTCAGGGTTGTCCTTAGGAAAGCTTAATTATGTCTAAGTCGTAGGAAATCTTTAAAACCCAAAGTAACAAAAGTGTCAGCTACTCACACAGTCAATCCGAGTCATGCAATGTATCCCCTTTCTCTGTGACTGTCAGACCCACCAGTCACCTTTGCAAGTCTACTTCAATATACCTCAACTATTCTACTACCTACACAAATGACCTCCACAGACTCTTGGTGCTGACCTGAGACTCTCATAACTCGTTTTTACATGATAATGCATTTTCTCTATTTCTACACTCCCATTTTCAAGTATGGATCTTATACGCCTCCTAAAATGCACTACCAAAGTGCGGGAGCACATACATAGGAGAACTCACCTGGGAGTCGTTCATTTTCTGTTGCTCTTGGACAAGTGTAGAGGCTGCTAACGGTTGACCTAGAGGAGGAGAAGCAAGTGAGTCATGAGTAATGCGGCCTGCCAAGGCAGGAAACGCCTGCGTAAGAACCACCAAAAAGCTCTCTAAAATCGGACACCCTGAGAATACTCATAAGAGGCTAAAAGGCGGATTCAGGAAAAGCACGTCATCCAAGACGAGCAGAAGGCAATTCGACGGGTGACTCCGATAAATATACCCATCGATTCCTTTTTCAAACAGCTTGGCCCCATTAAATAAAGGCTGCAACAATAAATTAATCCCCACTATACTGCTTATATATTTTCTTACTGTTCCCTTAAACTGTTTAGATTCAAAGAATCCTCAGTAACGGAGAACATGAGCTGTCAAAAATGGGATAAATGGGCATCGAGGCACGGTTTTGTTTCTCATTTTTCTGATTAAAATTGGTTACCACTGCACATAAAACCTATTATTAAGAAAACCAATATATTGGACAGGCCAATATACCTGTTAGGGAGTTGGAGCCCTGTTACCAACCCCACCATAGACCCAGGACCTTGGACAAGTCCCCTCCCTTCTCAGGTCCAACCTCTTCCTCCGTCAACCAGGCGGCAGGAGAGGACCCTGCACACCTGTCCCGCACGGACTACACTGTGTGCTCCACAGGGCGGAACCGAGGGGATCAGCTTCACTCAGGCCAGACAACAAAGGTGCTGAAGGACCCCTGGTGACCTGTTCAGAGTCTGGAGAGGGCGAGGGGAGGCGGCGGTGTCCGGCGAGGAGGCAGGACTAGGGACCACGTCAGCGGCCGAGGCTGGGGGCCCGCCTGCTGCTCAGCAACCTGCAACTCCCAAGTTCGGGGAGCACCGGCCCCGAGCACGGCCGCAGAGTCTCGCGCTGCTCTCGCGTCCCGTTTGGGGCACGCTCTCCAGAGCCCAGCTTCCCCGCCGGGACTCGCCGATTCGCTCGCAGCGCTCGTACTCCGGGCCCTCTGCTCCTGCGGGCGCACCCCTCCGGCCACCTCTGCTGCACCGCGCACGGTCACGGGCCGAGGGGCGGGCTCGGCCCCCCGGGACAAGCGCCTCCCGGCCCGCAGCGGCCTCCGGGCCCTTCCCGATAGCGCCTCGGCCAGCCCGTGTGAACCCTTGCCCGCACAGCCACGCGCCCGCTGGGTGCCGGCCCGGTCGAACGGCCACCAGCTCCGGAGGACCGGGATCCTCGCCCGCTGGAGGCCAAAGCCTGGGAAACAGGGCCAGCAGTGACCTGCGCACGGACAGGAAGCGAGGTCGATGCGGCAGCACTGCGCCGGCGCGAACGCTCCCCCACGGCCAGCGGCACTCGCGCTGAGGACGCCGGAAGTCCGCCTGCCGGGCCGCACGCCCGCTAGCTCCACAAATGCCAGGACTCTCTTTCCCATAAGTCCACGCGCCGTCAGTTTAGGGAAATTCTTTCAAGTCTAAATCTCACCTGGCGGCTTTGAGGCGCTGTGCGGAGAGCTAGGGCGGCGGGACGGGGGCTCCGCGACCAGCTTACGTTCAGGAGCAGGGAAAGGTGCCGCCTCAGCAGGGCCTGTGTGATTGCGTCCCGGATCCCTGGTCCTTTGCCCTGAGGCCTTTCGGGTTACAACTGAGATTCCCCCCAAGCAAAAGAGGAAGGAAAGGGTGTGTGCCGTGTTCACTTCGCTGAGATAATAGAAGGTTCACTAAAGTACTAGTGATAATAGGATGCGATTAATGCCCAGCCGTGACTTAAAACCGTATTACCACGGGCACATGGTTCCTCCAAGGAAGGGGACGCAAATGGAAATTGTAGCATTTCTACACAACTAATGCATAAAAACTAGAAAAATCAGAGAACACACAGAAATCGGAAAAAGAAAAGATACCCGGATCTTGCTTCTTAAACAGGATTATGTTTATGTTATGTAAAAATGTCACTTTTCAAAAGTGGGATCCTAAGGACAATGATTTATCACTGCTTTTCGGTGAAATAATATATCCTTGTTCTTCGTCGATTGTTTCTGAAAGGAAAGGAGCGACACACAGCAGCAATTCACCGGAGAGTTCCGCTTTATTAGGGAAAGGTGCTGGGTCATATAGGAAGGGGCATGAATTGATTGAGGTGTCACTTCTACGGGGCTGTTGGCTGTTGGCTAGGTGCTGGGATTGGGAGGGGGGCGAGAGGTGATTGGGCTTCAGGTGGCGCCGGCGGGAACTGAGGACCCCC